GTGTTTTTGAGATTTGGTTTTATTTCTCATTGCTTAACTGTGATTTGATTGGTAATAAATTAAATTAATATTCCTGAGTTGGGTCTGTTTTGCCTATGATGGTAATTGGTGAGTGATCTCTCCCTGTCATTATCTCGACCCATGAGCCTTTCATTATATTTTCTCTTCCCTGTCCAGCTGAGGAGGGGAGGGGAGTGACAGAGCAGCTTTGGTGGGCACCTGGCCTCCAGCCAAGGTCAACCCACCACAACAGTGTATTTTGGAGATTATGGAATCATTTAGCAGATGGAAAAAAGGAGACAGATCTTACTAGCATCTCTGTATTTGTCTACTGAAGGGAAAAAAAAAAAAAATCTGTGTGATGTGAAGGTCGGCACAGCTTGGAATCATGTTTCTCTGGCCTTTTGAAATTTTCCTCTAATGCTTCTGCAAAGTAGATTTTGTTGGTATAAAATTAGAAACCGTGATGCCATGTTGCTGTCTTTGAAAACACAGATGCAAAGCAAACAAGCTGAGATTATTTTTTTTTCTTCTGCGTGTGATGCATTCACTGATAATGCTGCAGTATTTTCTGCTATCTCCATCAGTAGAATTATCTAAGTTCTGCTGAGCTTTAAATATGATCTCTACAGTATCTATGCACTTAGCAAATGAGCTGAATTTGCTTGGCTTTCTCTAAGGAGGAGATAAACTTGATCCTCTCCTGAAGTTCATTTCAGTGGCTGAGTATTTTCTCTTGTTGTATTATTTTTGTTTTGTACTGAAATTCATTTTTTTAATCTTTAATATCATGGGGACTGTAGCATCCTCTGCATTTTTTTATATAACTCTTGGATGATCATAAAATTCACTAAATGAAAGACAACTTCTTGAGACTGGTTTTTTCTCACTGTTAATTCACAGAAGGCTTCTTGCTTACTCAGGGGACTCACCTACAAATCAACTTCTGTACTCATGAGCTAGTCTGGTTTCTCTTTAGCAGAACTCAGAAGTGGCATCACAGGGACTATTGGAAAATGTCATCTCTACCTCTCTGAATTTTTTTAATCACACCAAAATAGGAACTTTATGACTATTAATGTCTTAAATGTCTGCAGCTCTGCAAATGTAATCCCATTATTTGTCAGCTAATTCAGTGTCTTAACTACTTCCACAAAAATATTTTTTCTTTGCAAGTTCTTTTTTTTTCTTTGCCAGCACACAGCCATTATAACAGCCTAATAATGGGAGTCTAACAAGGATGTGTATGTGTCCATATGACCTTCTCAGGTTTTGTCAGATCTTTGTCTGGAGATTTTAAAATTCTTTCTTCTTAATCAGTTTTCCTCTTGAACTCTTGTGGCTTTCAGATTTCTGACATCAAATTCATCTCCCCCTTTAGGTTCTGAACCAAGAAAAAAATCACTGGCTGGGTGTGTTTTCCCATTTGAGATGCTTTTCACAATGCAGTCCAATCTTTGGAACAAATTCTGTAGTGCTTAACAGTAATGCCTCCAAGATTTAAAACAAACAAACAAACAACCCTGCTTCATCCTGATCTTACTTAAATGCTTCAAAGCACAGTTTCTCAGGGGAAGAATTAAATACGAGTCTTTAAGTCTCACTAAAAATTTTACTTTTGCCTTAAGCTGTAGATTCCAAGACATCTACTCACTGTTCTACCTCTCCACAAGAGAATCCAGCCCATTGATCTTAGCTGACAATCTGCTTTTTTAGTCCCACCCTCACTCAAATAGTCTGGTATTTTGCAATCACCTTCCTCCAATATGCAGACCCATAAGAAGAGCTTCTAAAGATTTCCTGTGCTTTAGATGTTACACAAAGGAGAATAATTCTTCCACCAAACAAGATGGCACTTGTATGCCTGGCTGTAGTAATGCAAATCAAGAGTTTAAAAGAAGCCATTTGTTTTGGTTTTATTCCTGCCTCGGGCAGTTTTAGACAGCATATATCAATTTTCCAGAAACTTGTCAACCTCAGGAATGATTTAGTATGCTGTTAAACGTAATAAAATCAATAGGAAAACAAATAGAATTTCCATGAGGAGCAGACAGTTGGAGAAGCTTGTCCATATGGCATATAGACATGCTGGAATTTTGAGGCTTTGTGGGGTACTTGCGTTAGAAAAATTGCATACCAAGCAAAGGTAATGCATAATTCAAGAGAACAAATAATCTAACAGCTTTGTGGCAGTGCATCTTGAACTTTCTGTCTGTATTTATTTAACAACAAAAACTCTATGCCTGGAAGCTACAATCCAACCATGAATCATATTTTCCTAATTTTGGAGCTTTATATGAGGAGCCTCACCCACTCTGAAGTGAGTGCCGAGTTCTTGGTTCAGCCTGAATAGCACCTTTGCTCTTCTAGCCTTCCTGGGGGTCATTTATGTAGCTACTTGGCTTTGCTTTAAGGACATCCAACTTCAAGACTATCAGTCCTGTCGAAAGTGGAGGGAGCCACTTGGTTACGCCAGTCCATGTTACTCTATGTCACTCCCTTTTGTTCAAGGCTTCCTAAAGAGCTGTGAAGGAGTTGATGTGTCTCTGGGCGTACGTACAAGCTAGGCAAGTCAGTAATTCCACTCCTCCCCGTTTGAGACCTTCTAGAGGTTTGAGAGCACCTCAGTTTATTGGTCCCAACTGTTCTT